ATTTCTTCCAGTCGGTTGTCTTATATGTACGATTTTACGCCAGTAACTAACGGCATAATTTCTTCCAGTCGGTATAATATATACTGTAAGATTTTACGCCAGTAACTAACGGCGTAATTTCTTCCAGTCGGTAGTCTTTATATGTACGATTTTACGCCAGTAACTAACGGCGTAATTTCTTCCAGTCGGTGATATATGTAATGTAAATTTTACGCCAGTAATATAATTTCATTTTATATTAATTTATTATAACTAATCTACCGACTGGGTTAGTGGCGTAAAATCTTACAGTATATAGACTGTGTTAGTCGCATATTACGCCGTTATATATATTCCCAAATCCGACGCAGACAGAGGCGTAAAATCGTACAGTATGTAGACTGTGTTAGTCACATATTACGCCTTTATCGAATTACCGCTCTGGGGTGACAATTTTAAGAGTGACCATTTGGGTCGCTAGCTGTCCATTCGAGGAAAACTTGGCCCGCAATTTATGTTAAAAGATAATGAAAGACATCAAACGATAGGAAACAAACCTTTGGTCTCACACGGAGGAGAAGAAATAGAATGTAGCCAAACACTGCTCGCTACCGAGAATTTTACAATGAATGCGTGACAAAAGAATCATTTCTTTGTCACGTGTTATTTCTCATGCCCAGGGCCTACGTACTTCAAGGAAGTTTCAATCTTGACCGATAGGAGACAGTCTGTAAGGATCGAAATTTTTTTTTTAAGTCAGATAGGAAATTCCCCAAAGGTGGCATTCCTCAAGGAACAAAACTTGGTGTTATCCTGTTGACGGCCTGATGACTAACAACCTACTGAAGGATTGAAATTGAAGCTTACATTTGTTGATGACACCACAGCTCTCAAAATCTTGGCTTGGAGTGGTTGCAGTCTACTCAATCCAGTTGGTAATGACATTTACGTTTTTCAAATGACCACAACGTGGGTTTAAACATAAAAAATCCAAAGAAATGTGAGTTAATTTAATGCATAATCACAACGTTGTAGAGGTACCTATAATTCATAGTTATAACCTTGTGGATCTTGCCCTCTTCCTTAAACTCCTCGGAGTGTATATCAGTAGTGATCTAAGGTGGCACTATCACATCGATTACATTTTTACGAAGGCCTCAAAGTGCCTATTCTCATTGCGAATATCAACCCTTTGAACATACCCCCCTGAATCAAACATTAAGGTCAGGAGAATAAAGGAGCTGGTCACCAACTAAAGAAGCCCTTGATTGTTCGACAAATTTTCCGTCTCAGCATTTTAGAAAATGTTTAGAGAATAAAAAGGAGATTATGTATATTGATGTTTGGATGAAAAGGGTAAAGGAAGGCAGGTGTACCTTGTAAACTAATCCTTAAAGTGTACCTAACACGAACGAACATAGCTGTATGACTTACCTTAAGGCTTATAAAATAGAAAGTTATTTCTACCAACTCGAAGTTCAATTTAAGTCACAGCGTTCAAAGTGGCAATTATTGACGAGAAATTATCCTACATGGAATAAAATCACTATACAATTGTTTCTTCATTCTTT